AACTCTATAGAAAAACAAGCCGAATATTAAGACCAGTAACTTCATTTTGTGGTGGTACCCATTCACTAGATGGCTTTTTCTTGAAAAGAAGCTGTTTTTTGTTTTTGTTTTTAGATGGAGTCTCACTCTTGTTGTCCAGGCTGTAGTATAGTACGTGATCTTGGCTCATGCAACCTCTGCCTCCCAGGTTCAAGTGATTCTCCTGCCTCAGCCTCCCAAGTAGCTGGGATTACAGGTGCGTGCCACCACACCGACTAATTTTTGTAGTTTTAGTAGAGACAGTGTTTAGCTATGTTGGCCAGGCTGGTCTCTAACTCCTGACCTCAGGTGATCCGCCCGCCTCAGCCTCCCAAAGTGCTGGGATTGCAGGCATGAGCCACCATGCCCAGCCTGAAGAGAAGCTGTTGATCCTCTGTTGGCTCACACGAGTATTCTAGAACAGCGGTCCCTGTGTGAGATGCCTGTGGGATGTAGCTCCATGAGAGATAGGTTTAATTCTGGGTAAGTGTACCCAACTGCATATTCACATTCACAAAGTGCCTTTTGTGCCTGTCCCAAATTAATAATACATATTTGTGCTGGGTGCAGTGGCTCATGCCTGTAATCCCAGCACTTTGGGAGGCCGAGGCGGGTGGATCACGAGGTCAGGATATCAAGACCATCCTGGCATTAACATGGTGAAACCCCATCTCTACTAAAGTACAAAAAACTAGCTGGGCATGGTAGCACACGCCTGTAGTCCCAGCCACTCAGGAGGCTGAGGAGGGGAATCACTTGAACCCAGGAGGTGGAGGTTGCAGCAAGCTGAGATTGTGCCACTGCATTCCAGCCTGGTGACAGAGCAAGACTCTGTCTCAAATTTTTAAAAAGTGTTATATATATATTTGCAATTGGTGGCTCTTTTTACCTATTAGAAAATCTGCAGTCAAGAAGGCCTCCTGCTGGACACAGTAACTCATGCCTGTAATCCTGGCACTCTGGGAGGCTGAGGCGGGTCTGAGGTCAGGAGTTCAAACTAGCCTAGCCAACATAGTCAAACCCCATCTCTACTAAAAGTACAAAAATTAGCTGGGCATGGTGACGCAGGCCTGTAGTCCCAGCTGCTTGGGAAGCTGAGGCAGAAGAATCACTTGAACCTGGGAGGCAGAGGTTGCAGTGAGCCATGATTGCACCACTGCACTCTAGCCTGGGTGACAGAGTGAGACTCCATCTCAAAAACAAAAACAGGCCTACCATACATTAATTGGAAACGACTTAGCTGTAAATCTGTCTTTGGGTTGGCTCAAACCAGCAATAAGGCTACAGTACAGGGAAAGCCATACCTGTGACTGTGACATTACCTGACATAGTCCTTTTTACGGTTTTTATCTTTTTTTCTTCTCTTTCCTTTTTACAGTTTGATTAGCTCTCTGTACTTTGCCAGAGGATTGGGGTGTCCATGCAGAATAAAGACAATATTGAATTATTGGAGCTAAAGATGTGTAATGGGTTATGGCTGCAGTAAAGGAGGCCATCATCATTTTGGAGACGACTCTCAGACAACCTAAACCTAGGATGGTTTCTTTTCTTTTCTTTCTTTCTTTTTTTTTTTTGGAGGGCAATGGCACAATCTCAACTCCCTGCAACCTCCGCTTCCGGGTTCAAGTGATTCTCCTGCCTAAGCCTCCCAAGTAGCTGGAACTGCAGGTGCGTGCCACCATGCCTGGCTAATTTTTGTACTTTTGGTATAGACGACATTTCACCATATTAGCCAGGCTGGTCTCGAACTCCTAACCTAAAGTAATCCTCCTGCCTCAGCCTCCCAAAGAGTTGGGATTACAGGCGTGAGTCACTGTGCCCAGCCAGGGTGATTTCTTTAGCAGGCATTTGGAGACCTCTAGAGCCTTTTCAGACCCAGCTGGAAAAGCCTCAGTCCCAACCAGTAAAAGTACCACCAAATACTAACAACTATTTGAAGCCCTGACAGGAAGGCATTTGAGTAAAATCTAGTTGCCAGTCTTCACCAGGACAAGTTCCTCTATATTGGACAGGTTTGACTAGAGGTGAGGTCAAAGATTGATTACCTGGATTAATTCAGGTACAAATCTCATAAGCCCGAGTCACTTGTTTGTCTTAATAAGACTTTTGCCTATAAATAGGCGAGACATCAATAGACACAAAGCATCTCTCCCCAGGTGAGTAGAATCATGCAAGTATTTGACTGTTGTCCATGGATTTGCACCTGGTATGAACAACCTATCATTATCATTAACTCACCTGCTGGAAGGATTGTAAGCCAAACCATGCTTTCAGCCCATTCTTCCTTCCCCTTCTCCCTGTCCTCCCCCCATCTCCCTCCTTTTCTTCTCCTCCCCCTCCTCTCCCTCTCCTTCTTCTCCTTCTCCTTCTTTCTTTTTTCTTCTTCGTTCTTCAGAGTTTCACTCCTGTCGCCCAGGCTGGAATGCAGTTGTATGATCTCGGCTCACTGCACCCTCCACCTCCCAGGTTCAAGCAATTCTCCTGCCTCAGCCTCCTGAGTAGCTGGGAGTATAGGCATGTGCCACCACACCTGGGTAATTTTGTATTCTTGTTCTTCTTTAGCATGTTCCAGTTCTGCTATTACTGGGGCAGTGGGCATCAGCCTGCCTATAGGTTCTGCTGGTTCCGCTGCTGCACCTGCAAAAGGATTTCTTTTTGTTGTATTAGAGTTCCCCTTTTGATGCCCCCTGCAATGAATTACAGCTACTTCTCTTGATAGAAGAATAGCATCTAGCAGGCTTGGTTTGACTAAATATGCTTTATGGGAGAGCCCTTGGTATTCAGAAGCCCTTGTTCCTTTCAGATAGCAGGGCATGGAGCACTAAAAATACATATTTTTAGTCAATGTACATTTTCATCTCTAAATCGTTACGTAATTGCAGGGTCCTGGTGAGGGCCACTAGTTCTGCCTTTTGAGACAAAGTAGAAGTTAATAAGGCTTGTGCCTCCATTATCTCACATTGACTGACAGTAGCATATCCAGCCTTTCTGGTTCCTTGATGCATAAAGCTGCACGCATTAGTGAACCATTCTGCCCTGGGTTTGTGTATAGATTCATCTTTTAAATCTGGTCTGCCACAATAAACTTGTTCTGTAACTCATATACAGGAGCGAGTTAAAGGGTCTGTGGATTCTGGCAAATAAGTTGTAGGGTTTTTTTGGTTTTGGCTTTTTTTTCTTTGATTTCAATCCCAGTATCCAAGCAGCATTGGAGTTGCAGGGTTTAAAGTCTGACATATTTTAAGAGTTATGTTTGGAGTATCCAATAGTAATGCTTCATATTTTAATAAGCAGCCTCCTGTCATCCTCTGATGTCCTTCAGCCTCTAAGACCCCCTGAATGTGATGCGGGGTCAACACTTCCAGGTGGTGGCTTAGTGTTCCTTTAGGGGCTTCATCTAAGAAGGCAGTAGCTGCAGTGGCCCTGAGACATCCTGGCCATCCCATGGCCACAGGATCCCATTGTATAGAAAAATAAGCCACCAGGCTGGGGCATGGTGGTTCCTGCCTGTAATCCTAGCACTTTGGGAGGCCTAGGCAGGCAGATTGTGAGGTCAAGAGATCAAGACCATCCTGGCCAAAATGGTGAAACCCCATCTCTACTAAAAATACAAAAATTAGCCAGGAGTGGTGGTGCAAATCTGTAATCCCAGCTACTCGGGAGGCTGAGGCAGGAGAATGGCTTGAACCTGGGAGGCAGAGGTTTCAGTGAGCTGAGATTGTGCCACTGCACTCCAACCTGGTGACAGGGCAAGACTCTGTCTCAGGAAAAAAAGAAAAAGGAAAAGAGCCACCAGCTGTGAAATGTCCCCTAACTATTGAATAAGGACACCCAGGGCTGTTCCTTGTTTTTCAGCTACATAAAGAAGGAACACCCAGTACTTTGGGATCTCGGAGGTGGGCGGATCACCTGAGGTCAGGAGTTCGAGACCAGCCTGGTGTGGAAATCCCATCTCTACTAAAAATAAACCAGATGTGGTGGCACATGCCTATATTCCCAGTTACTTCGGAGGCTGAGGCAGGAGAATCTCTTGAACCCAGGAGGCGAAGGTTGCAGTGAGCCGAAATTGTGCCACTGCACTTCAGCCTGGGGGACGGAGTGAGACTCAGTAAAAAAAAAGAAAGAAAAAAAAAATATATATATATATATATTTGAAAATTGTGAAATAAAATTAATAATATGTATCCATTTATCCATTTTAATTCTCTGGAAATGGAAATACCCATAACATGTAAATTCATATAGAGTATATAAATCCAACTTTTTCACTTGATTTTCAGAAATATTGTGTATATGTACAAGAGTAAAGGCATGGTCTGGCCAGGCTCCCTGTAATCTCAGCATTTTGGGAGGCTGAGGCGCGTGAATCACTTGAAGTCAGGAGTTCAAGATCAGCCTGGGCAGCATGGTGAAACCTCTGTCTCTACCAAAAATACAAAAATTAGCTTGGCATGGTGGCAGGTGCCCGTAATCTCAGCTACTCAGGAGGCTGATGCAGGAGAATTGCTTGAATCTGGGAGATGGAGGTTGCAGTGAGCCGAAATCGCCCCTACACTCCAGCCTGGGTGACAGAGCAAGACTGTGTCAACAAACCAACTAACCAACCATCCAACCAGCCAACTAACCAACCAATCAAGCAAAGAGTAAAGGCATAGCTGGTACAAAGCCAGGAAGCATGCTGGGCCGGGTGGCTCCCCATATTGGCCACCAGGGGGCACCATCAGCTCATAACTGTCTGGATCTGGGACCTATGCATGCAAGAGACATTGGTTTTAGAAGTAAAAAGCAACCTGCTGTTTAATGTGTTCATTCAATAGGTCTTTTGCGAATTACTATTTGTAACCTAGAGAGTGAGAGACATTTAGGATATAATTAGGTTTTTTCTATTTCGCTAACATACCTCGTATAAATGCTTTTTTTTTTTTTTTTTTTTTTTTTTTTTTTTTTTTTTTAGTATACCACTATACTAACGAGGAAGGAAAATGCTTTTAAATGTTGTCTTGAGGTTAATTGAGTCTCACTTCTCCTTTCTCTGAAGGGCCTGCAGAACTCTTTCAGTTCTGACATGGCTCCAGTCGTTTTTTCGTTTTGTTTTGGTTTTTTGAGATAGGGACTTTCTCACCCAGGCTGGGGTACAGTGGCACCATCATAGCTCACTGCAGCCTCTGCCTCCCAGATTCAAGTAATCCTCCCACCTCAGCCTCCCAAGTAGCTGAGACTAGAGCCATGCGCCATCATGCCCAGCTATTTTTTGTGTGTGGTTTTTTGTGTGTGTGTGTGTTTTTTTTTTTGGTAGAGACAGGGTTTCGCTCTGTTGCCCAGCCTGGTCTTAAACTCCTGAGGTCAAGCAATTCGTCCATGTCGGTCTCTCAAAGTGCGGGATTACAGGCATGAGCCTCCTAGTAGTTTTTATCTGGAGACATCTCATCTCTTTGAAGTCTGAAACACCAAATCTAAGTAAGAATCTGACTTTAGATTTTGATGTCTTTATTAAATTAGATCACTAGCTGATGCAGTGGTTCAAGCCTATGATCCCAGCACTTTGGGAGGCCAAAGTGGGAGGATCGCTTGAGTCCAGGAGTTCAAGACCAGCATGGGCAATGATGAAACCCCTCTCAATAAACAAAATAAATAGCTAAAATAAACTGTTGCACTTAATATTTATCTGAGCCAGTGATATTTATGTCAAGATGGGGTCAGATTCTAGACTAAATCAAACTCTCAGTCAAGAAAATGGCCTCTTGCCCTGTGATGCCCTCTGCCATGTTATGCTGCGGTAGAGGCCCTCACCATATTTGGCCCAACAACTCTGGATTTTCAAACCTCCAGAGCTGTAAGAAATATATTTATTTTAAAAATAGATTTAAAAGGCTGGGCGTGGTGGCTCACACCACAATCCTAGCACTTTGGGAGGCCGAAGTGGGGGGATCACCTGAGGTCAGGGGTTCAAAACTAGCCTGGTGAACATAGCAAAACCCTGTCTCTACTAAAAATACAAAAATTAGCGGGGTGTGGTGGTGGGTACCTGTAATCCCAGCTACTCAGGAAGCTGAGGCAGAAGAATCGCTTGAACCCAGGAGGGGAAGGTTGTGGTAAGCCAAGATCATGACATTGTGCTCCAGCCTGGGCAGCAAGAGTGAGACTCTGTTCCTAATTAATTAATTAATTAAATTGATTAAAATAAGGTGGCTGCCATTCAGTCCCACGCGATTCCTGTGGCTCTGCGCCCATGAGAACACAGTGTGTCTACATCGTGGCCGCAGGGCCCTCTGCTCTTGCACTAATGCTGTCAAACAGTTTGCTTTTCCCTTTCAGCATATTTCCTCTTGCTGACAATCTGGGTTTCGATTTTGCTTTTTGCTTTTGTTTTCTTTTTCTCTCTTCTTTGGTGCTGTGCACAGCAATGGTTCCTATGCTGCCACACTCCCAGCAGATTGTTGCACAATGAACAATACATTGCCATTCATTCAGTCATAATGAGCAGATTCGGCACAGGGGTGTGACGGAGACATATGGTTTCATGACAAGAGCTCTTGGGTCACTGAGGTTATTTTAACAGATGGCAGTGGAATCTACTAAACGTGGACTTTATTGGCTGATGTCTTAGTGAGTCCATCTCCAAGTGTGGAGATGCCCTCTGGTAGTGCCTCAGATGCACCACAGTATGAATGACTGCCTCATTCGGCAGTCACTCACCTGCCTCTCTGTATATCTCACATGGCGTTCCTCCCCAGGTGGATGTGGTTCTCCATGACAGTGAAGAGTAAGGAAGACACAGCATGGCATACAGACAGGATAAACTAGGCTGGGGTAGCAACCCAACCCTGAATGCTCAGTGGCTTAATGCTATGAAGGTTTGGTTCTCATTTATGCTGATATTCCTGGTCAGAGGGTTCACCAGAGCAAATCTTATTTATGTGAAGGAAAATTTGTACTGTTTTAATTATTTTTATGTGCAGAAAACTCAACAGTGTACATTTAACCCAGTTTCGTGGCAAGTTCTTTAGCCTGTGCCTTTTCGAGCTTAACAGTGCGAGTCACAGACTTGGGACCCAGGACATTGCCTCCCCAGTGACGATGGATCTCATCGCATCTGTCATAATTGGTCCTGATAGCTTCCATCAGCTTAGCCAAAGCACCTTTGTCTTCCGAGTTAAACTGTGTGAAGGTGACAGTGGTACAGGTCTTCCTGTGGACTAGACGTCCCAGTCTTGCTTTCCCCTTGATAATGCAGTAAGGGACTCCCATTTTACAACACAGGGCAGGCAAGAAGACAGCCAGCTCGATGGGATCCATGTCGTGTGCAGTCACCACCAGCTCAGCTTTCTTGTTCTCCACCAAGGTGGTGACAGTGTTAACTCCTGCTTGAAGGACAGGTGGTCTCTTAGTAAGGACGTCCCCTTTGCCAGCCGCTTTCTTCTCGGCCTGGGCCAACAGCCTCTGCTTCTTCTCTTGCTTTGTCTCTGGTCTGTACTTGTGGGCAGCTTAAGCAGCTGAGTAGCTGTTTGGCGTTCCAGGGCCTGGGTGAACTGGTTAATTGCAGGAGGCACTTTCAGCTCCTTATAGAGGGTGGCTCTCTGCCGCTGCAACCTGATACAGCAGGGCCATTTCACAAAGCTGGTGAGGTCTCTTTTGAGCTGGATGTCCTGTCCAATGCCTGAATTCTTAGGCCTTTTCTCAAACAGGGAATTCATTTTCTTAACCTCCTGCTTCTTCACGACAGCAGGGGCCAGAGCCACCTTCTTCCCCTTAGCCTCCTTTCCTTTAGGCATCTTAGGTGGTGGGAGGAGAGCTTATTTATTTTTTATTTATTTATTTTTTTTAGAGATGTGGTTTCACCATGTTGGTCAGGCTGGTCTCAAACTCCTGATCTGCCCGCCTTGGCCTCCCAAAGTGCTGCGATTACAGGTGTGAGCCACCACACCTGGCCCAGAGCACCTCTTCTTTAAGCAGCAAATTCAGGGATCAGAGCTTCTCCCATCCTGTGTGTCTGCCATCTTGGAAACTTTATTTTCAGCCGTGCAGATAAAGAGAAGGCCAGCCTGAGAGACTATGAGAGGTGCTTTATGCAAGGGAGGACTGGGAAATGTAGTTTTCTTTCATATGAAAAAATGAAATAGTTTGACCAATACCTAAAATTATCACATAGAATCTGCCACAATCATTAGTCATCATTTAGCCAACCAAGAAGGTCAAATAACTTTCTTGGATTGGTGCCATGGCTCATGCCTGTAATCCTAGCACTTTGGGAGGCCAAGGTGAGAGGATTGCTTGAGCCCAGGAGTTCAAGGCCAGCCTGGACAACATAGTGAGATCCCCTCACTACTTAAAAATAAATAAATAACTTCCTGTCAATATCCATTTCATTTTTCCACTTCAACTTCAACTTGTTGAATTGTATAAAACTCCTAATGACAAGAAGAAATGAAATAAAACCTTTCATAGGCGAGTGTTGAACAATGAGAACACATGGACACAGGGAGGGGAGTATCACACACTGGGGCCTGTGGGGGGAGGAATAGGGAAGGGACAACAGGGGGCAGGGAGTTGGGGAGGATAACGGGGAGAAATGCCAGATATAGGTATATAGGTGATGGGGAGGAAGGCAGCAAACCACACTGCCATATGTGTACCTATGCAACAATCTTAGAGGTTCTTCACATGTACCCCAAAACCTAAAATGCAAAAAAAAGAAATTCTGATTTATTCAGGTAAAAAAAAAAGAAGTAAAACTTTTATATTCTGATAACATTAAAAACAGTTTAATCTACATAAGCATTTTAATCTATATAAGATTTTTCGCAATACTTTTTATCTTTCATTTTTTTTTTAAGAGACAGGGGTCTCAGTATGTTGCCCAGGCTAGTCTCAAACTTCTGAGCTCCAGTGATCCTCTAGCTTCAGTATCCCAAAGTGCTAGGGTTATAGGCATGAGCCACTGTGCTTGGCTGATTTCCTGGAATATCTCTTAACCTGGGAGGATATTCTAATTATAGACCACCCTCCATAGACCGAAGAATACTGACCCTACCACCCCTACCCCACCACTCCCACCTTTAGATATGAGCCCGTGTTATAATTACAATCTACACCTGCTTGTAGAGCTGTGCTTCTCCACAGCTGCAAAACCTTAATCCTCCCATACACAACAGAGAGCATAAAACTAGGGCAATGTTTCCAAGTTTTCAGCAGATATTAATCTTTGTGATTCAGAAATGAGAGATTACACCTGTAATCCCAGCACTTTGGGAGGCCAGTGTGGGTGGATCACTTGAGGCCAGGAGTTCAAGACAACATAGTGAAACCCAGTCACTACTAAAAATACAAAAAAATTCACTGAGCGTGGTGGCTGGCTAATTTTGTATTTTTAGTAGAGACGGGGTTTCACCATGTTGGCCAGGATGGTCGATCTCTTGACCTCGTGATCCACCCACCTCGGTCTCCCAGAGTGCTGGGATTACAGGTGTGAGCCCGCGCCCGGCCCTGTTTTTTTTCTGAGACATGGTCTCACTCTGTCACCCAGGCTGGAGTGCAGTGTTGCAATCTCTGCTCACTGTAGTCTCTACCTCCCTCCCACCTCAGCCTCCTGAGTAGCTGGCATTATAGGTACACACCTAGCTAATTTTTGTATTTTTGTAGAGATGGAGTTTTGCCATGTTGCCCAGGCTGGTCTGGAACTCCTGAGCTCAAGCAATCTGCTGGTCTTGGCCTCCTGAAGTGCTGGGATTACAGGTGTGAGCCACCACGCCCAGCCTGGTTGTTGTCGTTAGTCTGCTGTAGTCATACTATGTAGATTTGGGTTTCTACTCCATGTATTTATTATGCATTCATGTGGCTGAAGAAGTTCCAGATGTGCGCTGCTATCATGATTTCATCTGGGCCAGTCTCCAACTGTTACACAGCACATACCTCTAGAAGTAATAAAAAAAGTTACAACAAAAATACACTATTTTTTTCTTTTTATTGAGGCAAAGTCTCACTATGTCACCCACACTGGAGTGCAGTGGTGTGATCTTGGCTCACTGCCAACCTCTGCCACCCGGGTTCAAGTGATTCTCCTGCCTCAGCCTCAAAGTAGTTGGGATTACAGGTACCTGCCACCAAGCCTGGCTAATTTTTTTGTATTTTTAGTAGAGATGGGGTTTTGCGGTGTTGGCCAGGCTGTTCTCGAGCTCCTGACCTCAGGCAGTCCCCCTGCCTCAGCCTCCCAAAGTGCTACAGGCATGAACCAGTGCTCTCGGCCAAAAATAAACTTTAAACTTTTTATTTTTAAAAGAAACTTTTAAAGTTATAATTAACAAGGAAGAATAACTTCCAGCATCCCATTGTGCAATACGGTGGCTGTAGCCAACAATAAGGTGTTGTATATCTCAAAATAGCTATGAGAGGATATTATATGTTCCTACCACAAAACAGTTCATGTCTGAGGTGATGGATTTACTAATTACCCTGATTTTGTTATTACACAATGTATACATGTATCAAGACATCACATTTGTACACCATAAATATGTATAATTAATACCTGTCAATTAAAATTAAAAATTAAAAAAAACCACTGTTCTACTTGCTATGGACTAAATTGTGTCCCTTCAAAATTTCTCTGTTGAAACCCTGACCACCAATGTGATGGTATTTGTTTTTGATTTTTTTTTTTTTTAAGACAGAGTCTTGCTCTGTCTGTCGCCCAGGCTGGAGTGCAGTGGCACAATCTTGGCTCACTGCAGCCGCCACCTAACGGGTTCAAGCAACTCTCCTGCCTCAGCCTCCGAAGTAGCTGGGACTACAGGTACCTGCCACCACCCCTGGCTAATTTTTGTATTTTTAGTAAAGATGGGGTTTCACCACGTTGGCCAGGCTGGTCTCAAACTCCTGACCTCAAGTGATCTGCCCACCTCAGCCTCCCAAAGTGCTGGGATTACAGGTGCGAGCCACTGTGCCTGGCCCTTTTTTCTCCGCATTTTATTTTGAGTTCTGGGGTACATGGGCAGGATGTGCAGGTTTGTTACGTAGGTAAATGTGAAAACGTATGCCATGGTGCACAGATCACCTGCACAGATCACCGCGTCACCTAGATATGAAGCCGAGCATCCATTAGCTACTCTCCCTGATGCTCTCCCTCCTCCCACCCCGACAGGCCCCAGTGTGTTGTTTCCCCTATGTGTTCACGTGTTCTCATCATTTAGCTTTCACTTATAAGTGAGAATATAGTTTTGAGAATATTGGTTTTCTGTTCCTGTGTTAGTTTGTTGAGGATAATGGCTTCCAACTCCATCCATGTTCCTGCAAAGGACATAATCTCGTTCCTTTTTTTTTTCCTCCTTTTTTTAAGAGAAAGAGTCTTGCTCTGTCACCCAGGCTGGAGTGCAATGGCATGATCATAGCTCATGGCAGCCTCCACTCCCTGGACTCAGGCTATTCTCCCACTTCAGCCTCCTGAAGAACAATAATTTAATTGTCTGTCCAATTTTACCCTCCACCCCCAGGGCCTAAGCAACACAGAAGTAAACTTTGGAAAGAAGAGCTTTGGTGGAGATGCTTCTGGAGTTCCTTTTCCCATTCAGAACCTAATGGTAGGAACAGGATCTGTGCTGACCCATCTCTGCCACTTTCAGGTATATGTAAAGCCACAGGGACCTGCTTGGGCTTGAGCTTTCCCAGCTGGGAAATTGGTATGGTAAAACCTTAGCCCAAAGGAGAAAACCTTTTCTCTGTAGAATGGGAGTTGCAGCGGGGAAGTTGGGAATGTCAAGAAGAAAGAGGCCCAGAGCAGTGGCTCACGCCTGTAATCCCAGCACTTTGGGAGGCTGAGGCCGGTGGATCACCTGATGTCAGGAGTCTGAGACCAGCCCAACCAACATGGTGAAACCCCATGTCTACTAAATGCAAAAAATTTGCCAGGTGTGGTGGCGCATGCCTGTAATCCCAGCTACTCGGGAAGCTGAGGCAGGAGAATTGCTTGAACCTGGGAGGCGGAGGTTGTGGTGAGCTGAGATCACACCATTGCACTCCAGTCTGGGCGACAGACAGAGCAAGACTCCATCTCAAAAAAAAATTTTAAAAGAGAGAGAGAGAGAAGGAGAAGAAGAAATTCGAAGAAGCAATCGCAGGAGTGGTCTTTCCAGAACCAGCCAAAGTCAGAGCACCCTCTGTTACAGGACGTATCCACGGGAGCCACACGGGAAAGCATTGAGTTCAGCAGTGCAGGTGGGACCAGGCTCGTGTTGAAGCTCACCAGCCCCTTTGGTTCACCTGCAGCCACAGTCAGCTTTATGATTTGGGTTTATACACCCTGCAGAACTGTGGTCTAGATACAAGGCCATTAGGAGGGGGTTACAGTAGGATTTGAGTTTACGTTAGATGACTTGGGGAAGGGTCCAAGAGAGTGAGGCCTGCTCTGGACTGGGCACAGTCAGATAAGTGTGGGCAATTTGGTGATTGAGTATCTTAATGATTTTTATTTAGGAAGTGGCAGGAACCAAGCCCCTCTCAAAATGTCATTGATAAAGAAGCCGCAGCTGCTCATAGCAGCCAGGAGAGGAAGGTACCTGGTTGTTTCTGTTGTTCACATGGTACGTGCACTTGTTTCTTGTTTCTGTCTGTGCTGAGGGCACAGGCGTGATTACACACTGGTCTCCTTGGTTTCACTCCATTGCATTAGACATTGCTTTTCTCTGAAATGGTCTGTGTTTGGCAGGTGGACACTGTAGGGGAGAAAACATAGTATTTATTCCTTTTCTTTTTTAGGTTTTCAGTTGAGATAGTCTCCTGAAAACAAAAGCTAGATTAATAAAATAAAAACAAGCAGAAATGTATTAATGCATGCTATACCCATCTCACGGGAGAGCCTTCAGTTCAAAAATATTTCTCTCTCAAGGCAGTGGCTTAGGGGCTTTGCTAAAATCATAGTTTAACAAAGAGCCATAAATCCTACATAGTGACAAGACAAAAGAGCAGTTCAGTCTTTTAAGAGGTGGGAAAATCTGGTGTGATGGTTAATACTGACTGTCAACTTGATTGAATTGAAGGATACAAAGCATTGATCCTGGGTGTGTCTGTGAGGGTGTTGCCAAAGGAGATTAACATTTGAATCTGGGCTGGGGAAGACAGATTCACCCTTAATCTGGTGGGCACAATCTAATCAGCTGCCAGTGAATTTTATATTCAAAGCAGGCAGAAAAGCATGAAGAGGTGAGACAAGCTTAGCTTCCCAACCTACATCTTTCTCCTGTGCTGGATGCTTCCTGCTCTGAACATCAGACTCCAAGTTCTTCAGTTTTGGGACTTGGACTGGTTCTCCTTGTGTGGGACTCTGTGATTGTTTAAGTTAATAATAAACTCCCCTCCCCCCCACCTCTCTCCGCCCCCCCCCCCATTAGATCTGTCCTTGTAAGAGAATCACTAATACATGTGGGAAGAGAGTAAATCTGTTCCCAGATTCCACTGGTGCCTGCTGGTGCCTTCTCTGGGCCAAAAAGCAAGTGCCGTCTCCAGTAAGGAAGGATTTGCGCCCTGTCATCAGGCACCCAGAGGCTGAGGCAGAGCGGTCTCCTGCAGTTTAGTGTCTTTAACTAACAATGCTCAATATTTTGGGGAGAAATATTTTGGTTTCCTTCAGTGTTCGGCAGGTGGACACCATGCTCTGGCTGTG